GCCGGCGAGGGTTTCGCCGGCAGCGGAAGAGGCTAGCTGCCGAGCGCCCTTCACGGAGCGCCTCAAAGCCCTCCCCGCCAGCCGCTCACTATCCCCGTTACAGCGCCGGCCCCCCGCAGCAAGGAGCACATGTTTCCTCTCCGGCTTCTCGCCCGCCTTGCGATGAGCCACGGCCAGGGGAAGGAGGCGCCCGGTACCAAAGCCGGTTCAAAGCCGCGGAATTTGCAGGCGTGTGGCGGATCTGACAGGGGATGCAGAAAGAAGCAATACATTTCACCCTTTCCGGTCCTCCGCCGCCGCTTCTCTGTCAACTGCCGATACCGTAATGCTTCCTTATTGCTACTCCAATTAAGTAGGGGCGAGAGGCTCCGTTCCCCTACGTATCGTTCCTGAGCGAATTAAGCATGCACCAAGTAAAGGGCTGACACGCATACACGTAGAGTTGTCCGATCCCGAAACGATGCCGAAATCCCCGAGGCGTTAACAGCCAGCTGCCACAAAGAGCACTCGGTTACATCGAGCATCCCCTTTGTCCGTGCATCCTCAATACACGCCCGGCCGCTCCTCCGTGCGTCCACGCACGCCCCACGTATACGGCCCCTTTGTGTCTTCGCCTCCCCCCATTCACAAAGAAATGCCCTCTCCTCAAGGCATGCACCCAGCCTCGGACACAGCCCTTCGCCTCCCCCCGAGACACGCGCCACCCGCCGCCGGGCACAGCGCTCGGGTACCTACTTGTGTTCAAGAAACAGTCCGTAAACCTCCTAAAGCAGCTTGCAGAATTAGATCCATCTTCCATGTCTGGCCCTAGGAGCAGGGGAGACGAGAAGGAGAAGAAGGCGCCGCTCTGCCGCTGCTGCCGCCTAGGAGTCCTGCTCCCGCCGGGGCCGTCGCCTCCTCGGATCCCGTCGCCGCGGGCTGCTGCTGCTGCAGCACCGAGGGAATTGCAGGACCACGGGCGAGAGGCGGCTGGGGAGAGGAGGAGCCGGGAGTGGTGCTGCCGGGGGCCGCCGGCTGCGGAACGGAGCAGCAAGCCCTGGATGGAGGAAGAACAGAAGAGTCTCCTCCTGCCGCTGCCGCCTGGATGGGCGATCAAGTGAGCTGCTGCTGCTGCTCCGCCAACATCTCTTCCTCCTCCTCCTGCCGCTCTCGCTGCCTCTCCTCCTCCTCCTTCCCTCCCTTGGAGACTTGTGAGGTTAAAGGAAGACGAGGAGGGGAAACGAGGAGGCGGCGGCAAGAAGTAAAAAGAAGATGGAGAAGCGGAGGAAAAGGAGGGGATTGGAGCGAGGAAAGGAGCCGCTGCCGCTCTGGGGGCGATGCGGGCGGAGGCGGCGGGGCTCTGGGGACGATGCTGGCGGAGGCGGCGGAGGAGGCTGTCCCTGCAGCGCGGCTCCTGCTGCTGCTGGTGGTTGTTAGCAGGAGAGAGAGGGAGCTGCAGGCAGCCGAGCCGCCTCCAGGAGCGGGGGGAGGAGGGGGACACCCGCCGCTGCCTCCACCTCCGCCGCTCTGGCCATGGGAGTGGAGCGGGCGGCTGCCGGAGCCGGGCTTTTCCCCGGGTGCTGCAGCCAGGGGGGCCGAGGGGCGGGATAAGATCCGCTTCTCCGGGTTGGACATGCTTCCGCTCTTCCCTCCCTTTCGCGGTAGTTTAAGGCAGGACGTCTAGGAGAGATACCGGAGTAAAGCGAAAGGGGAAGCCGAAATAGGACGGAGCCAAACGAGGGGCAACCGCGGTTCGGCGCTTCGTTCCCTCCAGCAACCCCCGGGCAGTATTTCCTCCGCACCCCGGCTCCCCGCCCTCATAAAATCCTCATATTTCCGTTCCCCCTTTAGGCCGGAGGGGACAGGGCGCTACTGACCGCCAAGCGGTTCCGATCCCCTTTTAAAGTCCGCTTTTCCTCATGCTCCGACCTCGCATTCAAAGCAAGAAAACGGCAACAAGCTGTATTTTCTTCGAGCGAGGCAAATATTGCCCCGTATGTGCGTGCGCGTCTGCAAAGAGGCAGATAAAATCACTGCAGTGCCGCTTCCAGTACCAGCCCCGGCCGCCAGAAAACGCCCACTGGCGGAGCCAGCGCTTCCCAGGCTGCCTCCCTTCCTCTCATTACCAGGCGCGCACACAGGAGCTACAGTACAGCGGTTACCTAAAGGGAACGCGGGGAGAGGGAGAGACACGAGAAAAAGATCCTCCCTATGCGGCCTCATTATTTTAAACAGACATTTCCAGCCACTGAGATCAAAAGGCAGACGCCCTGCGGCGCCCGGGATGAAGATGCCAGGGCGCTGCCCCTCCGTTTCTGTGGGGTATCAAACCCCCGTTCCTATACGGGGATGCACAGTCCCTTCCCGGTGCTCCGCATCACACGTGTTTGCTTCGGCCCCCCTCGGCCCCTCCACCCCAGTCTCTACACCTGCAGCCACCTACCCCCTACCCC